CCTGTACATCTTTTGGTATAGTGAAGACCAGGAAAGATCAGAGACCTCTGGGTCCCTTGGACCCACGCTGGTTGTAAGGTTGTCATTGAAGACTGCTGCCAGAAGTGGGACTGTGGTAAAAGTAGTAATACGGTTGATAAATAATTTTATATAGTCCTGTCGATTCGATGTAAACCTGAGATTAATTTTAAGTTTTGGCAGTTGTCTCCCTATCTTGGCACCGGTTCTGTTTCATTTTTTTGAGCTGGTGTTTCAAAAGGAAATGTGAGTAAATGTAGTTAGCTTACTGGCATGCCATGGAGAAGGCTGGTGAAGTGTGTGTAAAATGGGTGGTTAAGCGAATAAAAGTGGCTGAATTAATCTTATGTGTAATTTAGCTGTAAGTTTGGGTTATTATGGCATGGCTGTGCTTTAATTCTGTAATATTTATTTATTTTCACCATGTTCTTAGGGACTGTGTCGATGAGAGAGTGTATCTTGCCATCTGGGAGATACTTGCAGACCAACTGATCCCTGTGTGACTCGCCGGTGTACATCCTTTGGTATAGTGAAGACCAGGCACTTTGTGAGACCTCTGGGTCCTCGACCCATTGGTTGTAAGGTTGTCATTGAAGACTGCTGCTGGAAGTGGACTTGTGGGTAAGTATGCAATGGCTGAAACCACCTTGATCTAGAGTTGCTTTTCCATTCTAGAGCGCACTTAATCCTTAGAATACTGGTAACTGAAAAATCTGGAGTTGCTCTGGTCTCATATTCCTGAATTTTCAGTTCCTGACGAATTTCTGTGAAACTTAAAGTGTAGAACCCCTGCGTTACTCCTCACTGGGCCTAGTAAGGGCTTTACTTTAGTGGGCATTTGGCCTAAGTGCTCTTTTTGGCTTAGTTTCACACGCTTGTTGAAATTAGGTAAAATAAATAAGCCTCGGTATCTTTAATTCCAAATCTCTCTTGCATTGTAGAATAATTCTTGGTGGAAACCCAAGGGGACTGAAATCAAAGGTTGTTTTAAATGACCAGCGCAATTTGTTAGATGAACTGGTGACCTGGTGTAAGTATATTTTAACCTGCATGACAAATGGCATTTTTAATGTGCTTAAATCATGACTCTTGCTTCTTAAAATGTGTGATTTTGAGGCCCCAAATTTTGCCTGGCAAATATTTGGATTAAAGCGGCTTGAGAATCAATCCTTCATGTTTAACTGGTCTTAACTTTTAGTTCATTTTTTTTCTTGAAGTAAACCAAGTAAGAATGCAATACTGAGGCAGAGTACATTCTATTTTCAGTGGCTTGAGTAATGAATTTGGGATACAATTATGAATGGTTAATTTCTTGCAATGGTATTTGGAAGTGAGGTATAAATTTTGATCCAGAAGGTGTTGCTTGATCTTTGTATTTCTTTGAAGATGGAACCAATTTTATCCAATAATTGATAAAAATTTATTCTATTATGAATATATAAATGGGGTTAATTCTGTACTGTACAAAAATAATCTAGTCCAATATAAACCTTGAGAATGCAATTAAAACGCCAGGTAGCAATGTGTCCTAATACAGTGTTACCCATCAAGCAATTATTAGATGTTTTATTGCCTGTTGGCCTGGCGAGTTATTGCTAGGCATTAACATACCTAGGGGTAAGCTAGGCTGTCTCATTCTGGATTGGAAATGTACAATCTAGTCCATTGGAGAACCCTACACTATGGGTAAAATGGTTGAGCGGATTAATGGAAAGCTCTCGACCTCTTAGTGCTGAAGGGCGGAGACATTTGGGGAATCTTGCAGACCCCTTGGATGTTAACTGCCGAACTATTATTGCATGCCACTAGACTAATTCTCATTGACAAATTTCTTAGGGACTGTGTGTAGATGAGAGGGTCTCACAATCTGGGGAGACGTGGGTGACCCAACTGATCCCTGTGTGACCTGCCTGTGTACATCCTTTTGGTGTTAGTGAAGACTGTGGAAAGACTGTAGGCCCTGGGTCCCTGAATGCTGCTGTATATGTCGTTTCATTGAAGACTGCTGCCAAAAGTGGGAGTGTGGCAAGTAAGTCGAGATTACCCACCTTATCTAAAAGGTGTTCATAAATTATTACCCTGATTAAAACTGGTCATCCTGCTTTTAGGGTATTCATTTACAGACCCTGTAGATCTGTTCCTACAGTGCTTTTATTTAGTATATTCAGACTTTCCAGTAGTTGGTTATGAAAGTCTCGAGTAACCCTGGGTTAAGGTAATGGATACTTCTGCTGGTAATTATATGGATGAGTAAAGTGTTGTACTCTGCAATGACAGTCTTTGCTGTTGTATGAAGAAAAAAAAAACCTTGATGCAGTATTTGTGTACATGCATGTTAATTTTTGATATGGTAGATTTTAATTGTCTGAAATAACTTTTTTGATCTATAGGGACTGTAAAGATGCAAGTGGATTCTCACACAATCTGGGGGACACTTGGTACCCAAATGATCCATGTGACCTGCCTGTGTACAGTCTTTGGTATACAGAAGTCGAGCAAGCTGTGTCCATCTCTGGGTCCTCGACCTGGTCCTGGTTGCAGGGTTGTTGTTGTTGATTGTTGCCAGGAGTGGGATTGTGGCAAGTAAGTAATGATTGATAGTTCTGGTTTCTGTAAACATTTAGTTTCTCTGTAGTTACCAAAATCCAATATCCTGTGGGTTATGCTTTAGTCCTGTATCTCAGAGCTGGCAAATTTCATGTTGACCACTTGCCTATGTAAAAACCAGGTCTTTAGATTAATTCCAGGCACAAAACTCGAGTACTGGTGGAGTTTTCAAGTTAGTTTTAGATGGATGTGAAATAATTCTGAAGGGGTTTTTCTATTTTTAAAATTCAAATTGCTTTCATAAGTGTTTTTGGTTTTGTGTTGGACGATGCATCCAATAGTAAGTGTGGATTGTGACCTTGTCTGTCTTTGAAGACAATTTGTATGTTCAATAGCTGAAAATGTGCAGGTGGGGGTCGATATGCTGATTTGTAAGTGTCGCTAGTGATAACTCGAATACCAAAATTTATTGTCTATAGTTGCCTATTGTTTCTTGCAAAGTATGCAGTCGTTTTTGCTACTGTACAGTACTTGTGAATCTCTCGTTTGCTGATCTTGAGTACATTGTAGTACCTAATAGTATAGATTTCATGTTTTGGAAGATTGTCTAAATTAAGTTGTTTGTCTACAAGTTTGTGACAGAATTGGTAATGCACGAAGTTCCTAGACTCTTAATTTTTCTAGTCGTGGGTATGTAACTAGAATTGCTTCGGGAAACCGAGCCTTCACTTCAGTGCAGTGTATAAAGCTAGGAAACGAGTGGGTTACTTTATTAGGCTTGTAATGTGCATGAATGAAAAATTTCTGCGTAGCCCAGGGCTTCAAAGGCTGCAGTAATGTATTTTGCACTCCAAATGTAATATGGTATGATTTTGGAGTATGGTCCATAGACATTTGAATGTAAATTGATTTTTGTCTTTTGGTTTAGCTGTGCCAGTACCACATTAACTTCTCATTCTTAATGACTAATAATTTTTAGCTGTGATAAGAATGGCGCATCATAATGTGAGAGACTTGGTGGACCCACTGATCCTGTGTGACCTGCCTGTGTGATACACTCTGGTATGTTGTTAAGTCAAGAAAGACTGTCCATCTCCTGGTCCTCGACCCACAATATAGTTGTGAGATTGTCGTTGAAGACTGCTGTCAGAAGTGGGACTGTAGCAAGTGAGTAATGGTTTAAAAGAATTGTAAATTAATCTTCATGTCTGGCTTGGCTGTTGCAGTTACCTGATTAAATCTTCTATTTCTTAATGAAGAATTATTTTCCAGGGACTATGAGATCAGAATGGTGTGCATCATAATGTAGGAGATACTTGGGTGGACCCAGAGAGATCCTATTATGACCTGCCTGTGTACATACTCTGAGTATTGTTAAGTCCAAGAAAGACTGTCCATCTCCTGGTCCTCGACCTAGTAACAGTTTGTGAGATTGTCGTTGAAGACTGCTGCCAGACGTGGGACTGTGGCAAGTGAGTAATGGTTGATAAATAATGTAATCTAGAAAGGTGGTTTCCAGAAGATTGGTTATCAGGATAATGTAGAGCTAATGAGCTATAGACGACCATCTACGAGTGGGGTTTAAGTCATGACAGTACTTGGCCTATCAAGTATCTGAAGTTCTTGGGTATGGAGGGGAGTCTTAAACCCATGCTGTGGTTTAGGCATAATGTGATGACTAATGCTATTGGCAGATCACAATAGTGTATACTGAATTGGATGCCAGACATGTCTAAGTGTTGAAATCCTTTGACCTGACTACATCATGAATTTTAAAAGGTTAGGGATGGTTGGTGTGGGATGATGCTAGACAATTGGTATTTTTAACTAACTTTGGACAGTTTTCTGCTAATGCTTGAACTATTGTTCTACAGGGCTTGTTAGTGGTAGTAAAGATACTGCCTAAATGTTCTGAATGCATTCTTTCAAGCTGATGTTGAATTAAACATTAGGTATAAAGTAGTGCTAATAAATTCTAGATTACTTAAACTAGAGAAATTAAAGTATGCCCTTGGCAAGCCACTTAAAGGAGCTACTATAGTGATAGTAATTTTTACTTAGTTTTGTACTAAAGTTAGTATTGTGAATATTGGGGTTTTGGCATGTCAATACAGGGTATAGATATTTATATATTCTTTCAATGCTGACCAATTGGATGTATCAAATGGTTTGTATTTGTGTATCCTGTTGTTGGATAATAGATATTTGAATAAGTAAATGGTAGGGACTGACTTGGCTGTTGCAATACAAAATTAACTTGACTAGTTCTTAATGAATAATAATTTCTCAGGGACTGTAAGGATCAGAATGGTGTGCATCATAATGTGGGAGATACTTGGGTGGACCCAAGAGATCCCTGTATGACCTGCCTGTGTACATACTCTGGTATTGTCAAGTCCAAGAAAGACTGTCCATCTCCTGGTCCTCGACTCCTGGTCCTCGACCTAATGCTGGTTGTGAGATTGTCATTGAAGACTGCTGTCAGAAGTGGGACTGTGGCAAGTGAGTAATGGTTTAAAAAGAATTGTAAATTAATCTTCATGTCTGGCTTGGCTGTTGCAATACCTGATTAAATCTTCTAGTTCTTAATGATGAATTATTTTCAGGGACTGTAAGGATCAGAATGGTGTGCATCATAATGTGGGAGATACTTGGGTGGACCCAAGAGATCCCTGTATGACCTGCCTGTGTACATACTCTGGTATTGTTAAGTCCAAGAAAGACTGTCCATCTCCTGGTCCTCGACCTAATGCTGGTTGTGAGATTGTCGTTGAAGACTGCTGCCAGACGTGGGACTGTGGCAAGTGAGTAATGGTTGATAAATAATGTAATCTAGAAAGGTGGTTTCCAGAAGATTGGTTATCAGGATAATGTAGAGCTAGTAAGGCTATAGACGACCATCTACAGTGGGGTTTAAGTCCTTGACAGTACTTGGCCTATCAAGTATCTGAAGTTCTTGGGTATGGAGGGGAGTCTTAAACCCATGCTGTGGTTTAGGCATAATGTGATGACTTATGCTATTGGCAGATCACAATAGTGTATACTGAATTGGATGCCAGACATGTCTAAGTGTTGAAATCCTTTGACCTGACTACATCATGAATTTTAAAAGGTTAGGGATGGTTGTTGTGGGATGATGCTAGACAATTGGTATTTTTAACTAACTTTGGACAGTTTTCTGCTAATGCTTGAACTATTTTGTTCTACAGGGATTGTTAGTGGTAGTAAAGATACTGCCTAAATGTTCTGAATGCTTTCTTTCAAGCTGATGTTGAATTAAACATTAGGTAAAATGTAGTGCTAATAAATTCTAGATTACTTAAACTAGAGAAATTAAAGTATGCCCTTGGCAAGCCACTTAAAGGAGCTACTATAGTGATAGTAATTTTTACTTAGTTTTGTACTAAAGTTAGTATTGTGAATATTGGGGTTTAGGCATGTCAATACAGGGTATAGATATTTATATATTCTCTCAATGCTGACCAATTGGATGTATCAAATGGTTTGTATTTGTGTATCCTGTTGGATAATAGATATTTGAATAAGTAAATGGTAGGGAATGACTTGGCTGTTGCAATACAAAATTAAATTGACTAGTTCTTAATGAATAATAATTTCTCAGGGACTGTAAGGATCAGAATGGTGTGCATCATAATGTGGGAGATACTTGGGTGGACCCAAGAGATCCCTGTATGACCTGCCTGTGTACATACTCTGGTATTGTTAAGTCCAAGAAAGACTGTCCATCTCCTGGTCCTCGACCTAATGCTGGCTGCAAGATTGTCGTTGAAGACTGCTGTCAGAAGTGGGACTGTGGCAAGTGAGTAATGGTTTAAAAAGAATTGTAAATTAATCTTCATGTCTGGCTTGGCTGTTGCAATACCTGATTAAATCTTCTAGTTCTTAATGAAGAATTATTTTCAGGGACTGTAAGGATCAGAATGGTGTGCATCATAATGTGGGAGATACTTGGGTGGACCCAAGAGATCCCTGTATGACCTGCCTGTGTACATACTCTGGTATTGTTAAGTCCAAGAAAGACTGTCCATCTCCTGGTCCTCGACCTAATGCTGGTTGTGAGATTGTCATTGAAGACTGCTGTCAGAAGTGGGACTGTGGCAAGTGAGTAATGGTTTAAAAAGAATTGTAAATTAATCTTCATGTCTGGCTTGGCTGTTGCAATACATGATTAAATCTTCTAGTTCTTAATGAAGAATTATTTTCAGGGACTGTAAGGATCAGAATGGTGTGCATCATAATGTGGGAGATACTTGGGTGGACCCAAGAGATCCCTGTATGACCTGCCTGTGTACATACTCTGGTATTGTTAAGTCCAAGAAAGACTGTCCATCTCCTGGTCCTCGACCTAATGCTGGTTGTGAGATTGTCGTTGAAGACTGCTGCCAGACGTGGGACTGTGGCAAGTGAGTAATGGTTGATAAATAATGTAATCTAGAAAGGTGGTTTCCAGAAGATTGGTTATCAGGATAATGTAGAGCTAGTAAGGCTATAGACGACCATCTACAGTGGGGTTTAAGTCCTTGACAGTACTTGGCCTATCAAGTATCTGAAGTTCTTGGGTATGGAGGGGAGTCTTAAACCCATGCTGTGGTTTAGGCATAATGTGATGACTAATGCTATTGGCAGATCACAATAGTGTATACTGAATTGGATGCCAGACATGTCTAAGTGTTGAAATCCTTTGACCTGATTACATCATGAATTTTAAAAGGTTAGGGATGGTTGGTGTGGGATGATGCTAGACAATTGGTATTTTTAACTAACTTTGGACAGTTTTCTGCTAATGCTTGAACTATTTTGTTCTACAGGGCTTGTTAGTGGTAGTAAAGATACTGCCTAAATGTTCTGAATGCATTCTTTCAAGCTGATGTTGAATTAAACATTAGGTATAAAGTAGTGCTAATAAATTCTAGATTACTTAAACTAGAGAAATTAAAGTATGCCCTTGGCAAGCCACTTAAAGGAGCTACTATAGTGATAGTAATTTTTACTTAGTTTTGTACTAAAGTTAGTATTGTGAATATTGGGGTTTAGGCATGTCAATACAGGGTATAGATATTTATATATTCTTTCAATGCTGACTAATTGGATGTATCAAATGGTTTGTATTTGTGTATCCTGTTGTTGGATAATAGATATTTGAATAAGTAAATGGTAGGGACTGACTTGGCTGTTGCAATACAAAATTAACTTGACTAGTTCTTAATGAATAATAATTTCTCAGGGACTGTAAGGATCAGAATGGTGTGCATCATAATGTGGGAGATACTTGGGTGGACCCAAGAGATCCCTGTATGACCTGCCTGTGTACATACTCTGGTATTGTTAAGTCCAAGAAAGACTGTCCATCTCCTGGTCCTCGACCTAATGCTGGTTGTGAGATTGTCATTGAAGACTGCTGTCAGAAGTGGGACTGTGGCAAGTGAGTAATGGTTTAAAAAGAATTGTAAATTAATCTTCATGTCTGGCTTGGCTGTTGCAATACCTGATTAAATCTTCTAGTTCTTAATGATGAATTATTTTCAGGGACTGTAAGGATCAGAATGGTGTGCATCATAATGTGGGAGATACTTGGGTGGACCCAAGAGATCCCTGTATGACCTGCCTGTGTACATACTCTGGTATTGTTAAGTCCAAGAAAGACTGTCCATCTCCTGGTCCTCGACCTAATGCTGGCTGCAAGATTGTCATTGAAGACTGCTGCCAGAAGTGGGACTGTGGCAAGTAAGTGAAAGTGGGTCCCATAGGCATGACTGCCCATAGAGATGTGGGGAACCTACTGTATATGAAGCCTTTGGTATGAGGCAGGATGGCCTGTTGCTGAATTATTTAATCTAGATCTATTGCATCCCTAAGCCTGTTGGTAATGGGTTCTTCTGTTTTAAATGACCTTTACAGTATGGATATCGAAGTCCACAAGAGTGGTCTAATTTCATTCTGTAATTAAGTGGTAGTGTGAAAGGTTATGGTTCAACTTTGTATGCAGGAAGATGGCATTTTGCCTCGAGACTTGAAAGTAGCAAGCATTGGAAGGCAGTTTGTTCAGAATAGCTCAAATTGTTTTTGCTTGTAAATGGCTGAAGTTAGTGACTTAAGGTTTTGATCTACTTATTCAAAAGCTTGTATTAAATTGAACATTGGGAAAAAGAATTCTAATTTTTATAAAACGAATTCTTGCTTGTAGAATCTTGTTATAAAGCAGTTAACAAGTCCCTTTGTGATGTAATGTTGGTTTCAAATGCCCTGGGATGAAAAGTTGTGTACCTGGTGAGCATTGATAATTCATAGGGACTAGACTGACTAGGTGCATCATAATCTGGGAGAGACTTGGGTGGACCCCCGAGATCCCTGTGTACATCCTTTATAGACAGGAAAGACTGTAGTCATCTGGGTCCTCGACCTAATGCTGGTTGTAAGATTATTGTGCAAGACTTCTGTGATAAGTGGAGCTGCAAGTGAAATTATTACACTAATTACTAGTCCTTGGTTATCTCTTGCCCTTTAAGTTAATAAATGTAAATGGAGGAACTAGCATACCGGTAGTGGTGTGGAAATGGGAACCTTTTTCCATTGTTAGGAGCTAATTTTCACAATTGTAGAATGAAAAGATGCCATAGATTTGACCCATTTTACCTGTATTCTTGGAAGAAAATGCTCTGTACATGTCAACCTATTTGGTTTATAGGATGTGATGTTAATTTGGTTATTGTAATAAAGATTGTCTCATAAATTAGAATTGCAGGATCTTTATTGGAATAGCTTCCCCTAAGCTGTGGTCTTAAAATGATAATCTTGCAGGAATTCGACTTGTCCAGACCCAAACAGCTTTGAACGTTACTGTAAACAGTACTACGACCAGTGTCAAAGCGATTTGGACTGCAAGTCAGGAATGCAGTGTTGTCTTGTGGCTGGATGTGGTAAAGAATGCATGAGTGGTAGGTTTAATGGTTTTAAAGTGTTTTGGATTTGACAAACATTGAGGACATTCAAACTAGTGTAAAGAAAGTCATGTTGCTGGACTAACATATTTCGTTGTTGTAATGTTAAAATTACTTGTACTAATGCATCTTTTAGGAAATGGTGAAAGGTGTCCTGATACGACCGGAATAGTTACACCCTGTGTAGTTACTGAAGAAGACTGCAGCACTGATGAAGACTGTGAAGGAATCCTCAGATGTTGTCCTTATGGCTGTAGCAAGAGGTGTCTTGTTCCTGGATCAGGTACAGATGCTACACTAGTTTTTATAAAGGACCCTAACCTTTTCAATTGTTTTTTTGCACATTTTGCTTGAAGGTCCTTCTCTAAACCAATGGGATCAAAGGCTAAATATATAGAATTCTTGAAGATTAATGGATAGAAATGGAACAATGCCATTATTTTGTACAATACAATATTAGAGGAAAGACTTTAGATCATGGGAAATAGAAGTAAAGTGGCAGTTCATCTGAAACTAAAAATAGTTTAGTCAAGGTGTCCTTGCAATGTCTTTAAATTTTATTCGAAAATTAATGGAGCAATTAAAGTTAAAACCAGCAAGTTTTTCTGTAGTTTAATTTCTTCTTGCAGAGTGTCCTGCACATTGCCCTCCCATCCACAAGCCAGTGTGTGGTTCAGATGGCAAAGTCTACTCTAGCGAGTGCGATCTTAAACAGAGGTCCTGCAGGACGCCGTACCTCAAGAAAGTAAAAGATGAATATTGTTAAGTAAGTAGTTCAGGCATTTCTTGGGGTTTTCTGCTATGTAGTATAATTACATTTGAGTTGTAGTTAAGGGTGTGATGGTGCTGAATTGCCCTTGGGCTTCCAGTGCCTGGCTTTGAGCCTGAAGTCCATGGATTAGAATTTTTACTTTTTGTCATGTGGCAGAAAGTTTGTTGGCATGGATAATTTCTTGGAGCATTAATTGGTTTTTAGAATAGTTTGTTTAAAAGGTGTAAAAAAAAAATTGCAGGCTTGAAAAGTTCAGTAGGGGCTTATGTTTCCAGTAGAATGGAATAGTTTAAGTGTCTTGTATATTAATCTAAACTGCAATTCCAAAGTGTGAAAATTAATGCATTTTAAAATTTCAGGGAATGAAAACTTACTGTAGCCCACTCCACCCATGTCCCTGGATGAAGATTAACATGGACCTTCAACTCGAATGTTATCCTCATTGTTTACTTTTTCTAAACATTGTGGGCTGCAGTGGAACAATGTATAAAATAGTTATTTAGAATGTTATTTATTGTATATAAGCTTGACTTTAATAAAGGAGGATATCCAATTTTTAGATTTAACTATACCTTCTCCAATGGTTAATGTAATCGTGGTTACTCTACAACTGTAGACTATTGAATGACCTGGGAGGTGAAACCTGCACTTGCAGGAACCTGACAATGGCTTGAGATGGCAATGCATAGTGATGTTGGGCTGCTAAGGCTGCTGTGCACAAGCATAAAATTGGACAAAAACAATGTGCACGAAAATCATTTGAGCAATACCCACCATGCCTTCCTATAAGCAGGTGGAGCTTGTACTTGCTGGTTAAATAATTTAACCAGGCTGCAACTATAGGAAATATTCTACAGTATTTATGCTATACAGGTGCTCCCGACTTACGACGGGGTTAGGGACCCAAATCCAGGTCGTAAGTCGGAATGGTCGTAAGTCAGACAGATAAAAAAAACTAAGTAAATAAAAAATCTGCAATGAAATGCAGTACAGTAAAAGTAATAAATGAGGAATGGATAGTGTGACGGAGCACTTGCCTTTAATGTAGTAGGCCGAATGCACATGGGGGTGGGGGGCCAGAATTTTCTAATTATACATGGAGACTACATTAACTGGAAATGTTTCTATATAGAAAATGCGTGCGTCGTTTGAAAAAAAAAGTGCAACTGCTGCAGTTGTAAGTTGGGGACTACCTGTACTTGGAAGTTTACATTAGTTTTTGCTGCATTTCAATATCTTAAACCATTGACACATGATAAATGTTTGGGAATTTATGGATTTCCTGTACAGTATATTGACATGGACTGCTACAGACTTTAATTTTATCCTTTGCCACTGATTGGCTTGGGTGGGTATGTACCTTTGATGTAGTGCTCATGGAGATGTTTTACTTTGCTTAGGTCTCCTGTCTAATATAAGCTAGGTAGTTGCAGGCACTCCAATCTCTTGATAATTGGTTCTGTAAAGCAGGCACAAGTCTGGTGGCCCTCTGGCCATTTTTCAATTATTTGATCATCTTGCATTCGTCTGGGGAAGCACCTAGCTCTTGAAGGTAGTGATGGACCATCCAGATAAACCTTGCTAGACCTAGTTTTGTTGCCCCATTCGCCATCTCCATGGCCAGATAACTTGTTCATTGTTGACTTGCCTCACTAGGTTCTATTAGCAAACCGTCTAGGTTAATGCAGTCTGTCTTGTTAGGATATGTGATGTCTCCTTACTTGTAACTGAATTTTAGCAGCCATTTCCTGGACAATTCTTAAACCTCTTTTTTCTGCAAGTCTTCAGTCTGCTTTGTTCTTAATTTCCCTAAATAACTTGGCATCTTGTGCAAACATTTGTCTGGAAAATATAGCTTTTGGCATGTCCTTTAGGAAAGCCATACGGGTCCAATACACTGCCATGTGGTACCCCACTTGTCCTGGGTACACGGGATGATTGCATACCATTTATCACCACACACTGCAGTTGTGTATTAAGTCTTGGATCCATGCTAGGACACTAAACCCTACCCTTCCAGTTTGAGTCTCGGCCTTTCATGTGGTACACTGTCGAAAACTTTGGCAAAATCGAAGTATATATTGATATTTTTGCCTTGTTCTAGTATGTCCAAACATCTAATAACTAGAGTAATTGTGTTAAGCAGGATCGTCCCAGCATAAACTAGTGTTGGCAGTCCTTACAAGGTTTTTTCATAGGTTCCATCATGGCATCTCTTACGTTGCTCTCTAGTAATGTACTTTACACTGCTGGTCAGGCTCACTGGTCTAATTATTTGGAGTGACGATCACCCTTGCATATAGGACTATCATAAGCCATCTTCCAGTCGTAGGGGACCTTTTGCTCTAAACATATACAGGACAGGATTTTGAGGGGCTCCACAAGCTGGTTACAATTCTCTTAACACTGGGGTGTACCATATTGGGGCCAGGACACTCGTAGATCTTTAGCTTTTAAGTTTCTTGTAACCTTGTCTGAACACATTGTGGGTCAGCTGTGTTGAATTGTCTCCTCAAATGCAGGAAGATTTTTCTTATTCTCTGGTGAACACGAAAAAAAAATTGTTGAATGCCTTTGCATTATCCTGGTCAGAATCTGCAGAACTACCATCTTCAAGCCTCGGGGTCTAATATGTCTACTTGCGGTCTTTAATTTCGACTTTGCCTAGCGGTAAAAGCCTTTGTTTGACTTGACCTAACTAGCAATCTGCCTCGAACTGTTTCAGCCCTTCTACAATGACTTGGCCTGGATCTGGCATACATTCTCCTGTTCTGCTCATCATTTGTCCTCCAATGATGGGAAATTAATATGCAGTAATACTGAATGTTAACTTCTATCCTCTTCACCACTGATCGGCTCATTAGCCACTTGGGGTGATCAGATACGTCTCTGATTGCTTTAACCTTTACAGTACTTTTATCCTCTTCACCAAATGATCGGCTCGTTCGCCGCTTGGGCGATCGGTCACGTCTGTTACATACTGTTGGCAAGTACTGGGCATAAACTGGTTCCTGAATGTACCTGAACCTGCTCCAGTGTTGGTCAAGTCTTGTCTTGAAAGCACTCGCACTTGGTGCCGTCAACACTTTCTGGTAGATAGTTACAAGAGTTCACAACACCCACTCCGTAAAAGTTTGCCCTCACAGTTTTCTGGACTTGTGGCTCCTTCAATCTTGTGCTGTGACCCCTTGTGGGGGAGTGTCTGCCAGCTCCAAGTAAGGACACTTGACTGAGTAGTGCCCCTTGAGTTGCTTATACACCTCAATTAGGTCGCCCCTTGCCCGTCTGTAGTGTAAGCTAGGCAGGTTCAGTCTCTCCAATCTCTCAGGGTAGTTGAGGTGCCGAAGTGCAGGCACCAGTCTGGTGGCCCTCCTTTGAACATTTTCAACCAACTGACAGTCCCTAGCATATCTCTTGGACCAGACTGTGACAGTACTCTAGATGGGGAAGCACTTCACTCTGAAGATCGTTACGAGGGACGGACTGTCAAGATATCTGAATGACCTTATAAGACCCTTTAATTTATTTGCATGGTTTACCTTCTCGCAATGGCCCGAGAACTTCAGCTTATTGTCAACATACACACCTAAGTTCTTCTCGCATTGTCTCAAATATTGCACTTTCTTCATCCCGTTGGGTCATATGATATGCCTCCTTACTGTTGGTACGCCCCAGGTATATTCTCTTAAGCCCCGTCCACACGATCGAACAGTGCCCGGCGGACTTTGTCCATTTACCGGGCAAATCCTGTGTGTCGTCGTACACACGGAGGTGCTGGTTGGCAGCAGTCACACTGCTGCTGGTAGCTAGTAGGTGGTCGGCAGTAGCTGCTGCGGTACGATCACCATGGTGTGTCGCAAGACAGTTAAATCGAAGACTATAGCGCTGTGTATAATAAGTGCTACCCTACAGTGTGCAAAAAACAGAAAAGGGAATGGTGCAAGGAATGGTTATCTCAACGAAAATTTAAGAGAATTCATGCCACGATTTTACGTGAACTGCAAGGTGAACATGAGAGAAACTTCACTAACTACATGAGAATGGACCTCAACACCTTCTATAGACTTCTCGCTAAATTGGAACCATACATAAAAAAAACAAGATACCATTATGAGGCAGAGCATATCTCCAGAGGCTCGTCTAGAGGCTACGCTCATATTTCTTTCAACTGGGTGCTCCTACACGTCGGTTCAGTATTCAACGAGGATATCAAAAAGTTTGTCTACCATAAAAACTGCAACTTGTCAAGCCATATATGAAGTACTCAAGGAGGATTACTTGCAGGTGAGGTTTGTAGTATACATAGTTATTCAATTTTGACGGTCACGAGAGGTTCCCATGGTAACACATGTCTTATTATGTGATATAGTAGGCTTAGTAGGGTTTCCGGTTTTTATCGATTACACTGGGGAACACACTTTCGGTTGCATGAGTTCTGACACTTGATTCTGGTAGATTTGAGGTCACAGATTCTGAAAATGGCATTCGTTTGTGCAGATCAGGTCTAGTTTTGATGGTACGCGGCAATTTACATATCAGGTCACAGATTCTGAAAATAGCAAAGGGAGGTAATAAGCATATTAGTTTACATTCATCAAATATAATTCTTAATTACATCAGTGCGTCAAATATAGATTTGTGTTGCTGGTTTCACTGGTAAAACTCATCTTATCACATACCCTAGTCTAGATTCAGCAATCAGGCCTGTGCCCCATTCAGATGATGTTCCAAAGCCTATCTTCACTCAACTTGCTTCCGTTGAATCTGACAGTGAATATGACACTGAGGTCACAGAGGAGTCAACTAACAGAAATAGTGACTCAGATTTTGCAGGCATATCAACAGAACCGCAAACATTTAGCCAAGCAGAACTCAATGACTTAGTTCGAGATCTGGGTCTGTCTAAAAAGCTGTCAGAATTGTTGACTTCACGGTTAAAAGATAAAAACTTGCTGAAAATAGACACAAAGGTAACATTCTTTCGCAACAGAGAAAGGAACCTCTTACAGTTCTTTGATTCTAAATTTGACTTCGTCTACTGTTGTGATATTTCTGGATTAGTCACCGCGATGGGAGCTCCAGGTTATGATCCGAAAGAGTGGCGCCTCTTTATAGATAGTGTAGCTCTAAGCGGAGTCTGAAGTGTGTTTTATTACATATAGGCAACATCTTTGGCGCAATACCCATAGGACTCTCAGTACACCTGAAAGAAAAATATGAACACATCAAAACGGTTTTGGAGCTACTCAAATATGAAGAACACAAATGGATCATCTGTGTTGATCTAAAAATGGTCAATTTTTTGCTAGGACAGCATGGTGGGTATACAAAATTTCCTTGCTTTATCTGCCTCTGGGACAGCAGAGCCAAAGACAGACACTGGATTCAGAAGGAATGGCCAGTTAGGGAAAGCCTCAATGTTGGGGAAAAGAACATCATTTATGAACCCCTAGTGGAACGTGAAAAAATTGTTTTCCCGCCCCTTCACATCAAGCTGGGCCTTATGAAACAGTTTGTCAAGGCGCTCGATACTGACAGTGACTGTT